ATGCCCAGTGTAAATGGTCTTTTGCAGCTCTCTGCTCCTCTCATAGTCCCCTTTCAGGTGGACAATAAAGAGCCATTGCTGTAAATTTGTCTGGTCTCATCCTTAATACATGGCACATCCAGCGCCATCTTTCTTCAGTTAATTCTGAAACATTTTCAATTTCTTGGACCCCTAGAAACCTATAATTAAAGATAGTCTAGGGCCAGTGAATGCCATTTATCTTTCATTAATACTTACTATACAAAGCATCCAATATGAAGATAGAAGAGATGGTTGCTTTCCAGCATTTACTGATATAGAAAAAAAAACGGTTAGGAGATTACATTTGAAGCAAATCTTTATTCGATCTTTTTTCTTCAATAGTCATTTTTTTTGCAAAAAAAAAATATATCTATATTGGCTTTACTACTTAGCCCTATCCCTATCCCTATCCCTATCCCTATCCCTAGCCCTAGCCCTAGCCCTAGCCCTAGCCCTAGCCCTAGCCCTAGCCCTAGCCCTAGCCCTAGCCCTAGCCCTAGCCCTAGCCCTAGCCCTAGCCCTAGCCCTAGCCCTAGCCCTAGCCCTAGCCCTAGCCCTAGCCCTAGCCCTAGCCCTAGCCCTAGCCCTAGCCCTAGCCCTAGCCCTAGCCCTAGCCCTAGCCCTAGCCCTAGCCCTAGCCCTAGCCCTAGCCCTAGCCCTAGCCCTAGCCCTAGCCCTAGCCCTAGCCCTAGCCCTAGCCCTAGCCCTAGCCCTAGCCCTAGCCCTAGCCCTAGCCTTAGCCCTAGCCCTAGCCCTAGCCCTAGCCCTAGCCCTAGCCCAAGCCCTATCCCTATCCCTATCCCTATCCCTATCCCTATCCCTATCCCTATCCCTATCCCTATCCCTATCCCTATCCCTATCCCTATCCCTATCCCTAGCCCTAGCCCTAGCCCTAGCCCTAGCCCTAGCCCTAGCCCTAGCCCTAGCCCTAGCCCTAGCCCTAGCCCTAGCCCTAGCCCTAGCCCTAGCCCTAGCCCTAGCCCTAGCCCTAGCCCTAGCCCTAGCCCTAGCCCTAGCCCTAGCCCTAGCCCTAGCCCTAGCCCTAGCCCTAGCCCTAGCCCTAGCCCTAGCCCTAGCCCTAGCCCTAGCCCTAGCCCTAGCCCTAGCCCTATCCCTATCCCTATCCCTATCCCTATCCCTATCTCTAGCCCTTTCCCTAGCCCTAGCCCTAGCCCTAGCCCTAGCCCTAGCCCTAGCCCTAGCCCTAGCCCTAGCCCTAGCCATAGCCCTAGCCCTAGCCCTAGCCCTAGCCTTAGCCCTAGCCCTAGCCCTAGCCCTAGCCCTAGCCCTAGCCCTAGCCCTAGCCCTAGCCCTAGCCCTAGCCCTAGCCCTAGCCCTAGCCCTAGCCCTAGCCCTAACCCTAGCCCTAGCCCTAGCCCTAGCCCTAACCCTAACCCTAACCCTAACCCTAAACACATTCCTGCTAGTAATAACAAACCAAAACATTTATTAAATTACCTGCATACTGTTAGCCACGTGTTTCACGTTGTTAATTAGTAGCCAAATTTAGACAAACCTATCAATCAGTATTTTGTTCAACTTGTTGATAGAAAACATTTTAGCACAAAAAATTAGTTACTGAAACGTTCGATATTAATATTGCTTATAAAACAAACATGTTAGTGATGTTACAGATTTCGAATAATCCAGGAACGCATTGTGAATTACTTAATTAAGTAACAACGAAGCATTGAAAAAATAGGTGTTGAGGTGGAGTTCGGGATTTAATCAAAATCGCAACCCGTGTTTTGTTGTTCTTGAAAGATAATCTGCGCTACTGATCCATGAATAGATAATTCAAAATTAAATAAATTAATGAAAATGCTCATACACAATGTTTATCCGTTACAATTTGGTTATTTCATGCTGATATCGTTAACACAGAATTTTACTTAACATGACAATGTATGTTACTGTTGTCTATGTCTCTACCTGAAAAACGACCAGCATGCCCTAATTTGTAAACTCCTCCATTTCATTTAGCTTTTAACGTTTTCAGTGTTTTATACATACGTCTTTTGGCATGCGCTTCTATAAATTCCCTTAATCCTTGGTGGATGTTCAGTTCTGAGTAAATATTGCCTTCTACTACATAAGGTAAAAAAAAAAAAATTTAAAAAGTTGTTGTCTGTGTAACTATGTAGGCCTATCTGTTGAAAAGTTGGAAACACTTCTACTATAGAGTCTGTTGTATAGAATATAGAGAAAACACAAGGAAAGTTAAAACACGCTCAGTAATAAGAAAAACAAAACGTGACGTCACAAGGAACATATAGTAGGAAATAGTCTAAAGAAAGTACACGCAATAATATGACGTCATTGATTCTCGGGTAAACATTGAATTAAAAAGCCGATTTGTCTCATATTATAAGTGGTTTGCGTGCAGAGTTTCTTTCATGCATCTCTTTGGGTAGGGGTCGGAGCCCCCCCCCCCCCCCCCCCTCACCGACGGAATAACGTCTAAGCCACCCCCCTCCCCTTAAAAGAAGTGATAAAAACAATGACATTACCGCCTAATTTATCTGTCTAATCTTAAAAGTGGTTTGCTGCAGTAGATTTTCTTTCATGCGTCTCTTCGGGTAAGTGCAAAGCCCCTGCCCAACCCCCCCTCCGGTAGAACTTCTGATCCCCCCACATCGACATGTAATTTATATAGAAAATATATACTTTTACAAGAGTCGGCATACCCCGCCCCGGATAATTTTATTTGCCCCTGCAAAAATTCAAGTGACTCATCCCCGGAAAAAAGTCTGGAAGAAACACTGCGTGAATGAGATTTATCGGACAAAAATAGGAAACGGGTCTATATTATAGAAGTAGGCTCTACCTTTAGTGTTTATAATCTAAAAATGCGACCAGTGTTTCTTTCAGATTTTTTTCCTTCCCGAAGGTGGGGGTACTTGAAATATTCGGGGTTGGGGATGGACTAAATTTTCTGTGAAGGGTCGGACACTGGTAAAAGTATATATTTTCTATATACCTTGTATTTCGTTGAATGGACCTTGTTTCAGGGTTGGTGGTGGTGGGAGGGGGGGGGAGGGGAGCCTCGCCCCTTAGGCCCCCCTAAAATAAACTCTAAATGCGACTTATGTCAGATTTGATCTTAGGTGCAAGGTTCAGGGGTATGGCTACTATATTTAGTACCAATGTGCAGTAAATACGTATAGATCCATCTTAAATCCGTATAAAATGTCGATTCTGGAGAAAAATCCGTTTTCAATGACATTTTTCGATGCCGCTTAAATCTGAAGTTGAGGTGCTGATTTTTGTTTTGGTTTAAAGAAAAAGACAACACTATCAACCTAGTGCCCGTTGTATCTCTACATCAACGTGCCATTTATCTCGTGTATATATATATATATATATATATATATATATATATATATATATATATATATATATATATGTATATATTTAACGTCAGTGGCTGTTTGAACAGGTTGGCTTATCAGAGTTTATGCCAGAGCTGTCCAGAAGATCGTCTGCCGCCCCCACCCGAACGAAATTATATATATATATATATATATATATATATATATATATATATATATATATATATATATATATATATATATATATATATATATATATATATATATACATATATATATATATACATATATATATATATATATATATATATATATATATATATATATATATATATATATATATATATATATATATATATATATATATATATATATATATACATATACATATATGTATATATATATACATACATATATATTTATATACAGGTCTATTGTGTAACAGTTGATGCTGCTTCTACTTCCTACAAAGACACATTTTCTCAGTAGTTAGCCGTTTATTCTTCCGTCTTGTTAGCTTATAAATAATGGTCTTGTACGCCTTGATAAGAATTTATTGTAAGACTGTTCATTGAAAGTATTTTAATTCATTTCTTTTTTTTTAATTTCTTTTAAAATGTTATATGACTTTGCTGGCATATTTTGGTGAGTGTTTTACACATATAATTTCTTTTAATATTTTGTAATTTGCCCTCTTTATGTACCCCCCCCCCACCATCTAGTTGTTTGCTACTTGTTTATTGAAAGCTTCAGTGCGAAGTTATATACTGTATTGGGTTCTTGAATTTATATTGCTTTTACTCCTTATTTTAATTTTTTAAGAGGGTTAATCTGACACAACACAATCCCTTCTATGAACGTGTACAGCCTGCATGGACCGTCAGGTTCGATAAGGGAACTTTACCTGTCTCTGACAGTTAATGATGTGTAGCACTGAAGATTTTACACTGATGGGTCACTAGCCCAACGCAGAAGACACATATAGGAATGTAGATTTGAGGTGTCAATATACCCAACCACCGCGTCAAAGATAAGTTGTCGGTGTGCAAAACATATTTTACAATAACAATTAATTTAATACGTCTCATTAGTCTAACAGCACATTAGCTGATGGAGCAGTATAAATCAAACACAAAGCCTGGACGGTAAGATGAAAAGAAGAGTTAGGTGTCGTCCATGTATCAGAACCCTCCATCTCGACAGCTGTCACACCTAATGGACAGGGCGTTATCTAGACAACTTGCAATCAGCAGAGTCGCAGAAACTGCTGACAGGAAAACACGAGTTTGTAACTCTATCACCTTAGGAGCTCTACTTCTGTTTAATTTTCGAAGTTTTCTATCCTATATTAATTGCAATCGCAAAACAATAAAATACACCATCAGTAAATCATCGTCCTTTTCAGTTCGTGCTGAAGACACTTGGGACAGATGAAGTAGAGTTCATCTGTTTCAATGACCACGGCATACAATGGGATAATGTGGTCAGCACTATGCCCAGCCGTCTTTTAGTGCCAATCTGTAAATATTTGAAAATAAAAACAAACATTCACGACTTTAACAACTTTTTTTATTGATGCTTATCTATAGCAAGATATAACATTCCAGAAACATTGCCTTGTGTAATATATTGTGGTGGTTTCTGGCGCAGAAGATCTGCGTACTTCTAGGCCTAAACTCGAGCTGAGCGGTCCAGGTTTGTTATCACTTGCTGCATCGGAACCAAGAGCCTAACGCAAATCAATAAAAATACATATTTAGAACATTTCGATCATTATGCTACAATGTGTGCAGTTTGGTATACAAAATATAAATAACAACTTATCAATTAAAAGTAAAGTGTGGCGTCTTTTTCTTCTTCTTCTGCGTTCTTAATTAAGTATACGTGTCAACTGGTTATGCGCCATTGAGGCCATTGACTCCGATTTCAGCCTGCTTTTCTTTTTGGATTTGGATTTGCTTCCAACCAAGAACAAACTACAAGACAGAAGTTGTTTGATTTTGGAGGTTTCTCTCCTAAAAGAGTGGATGTCCCAAGCTAACGAGCCTCATCTGCCCGAAGGTTTGAACTCGAGACTTTTCGGTTTAGTAACCATGAGCTTTACCGACTCAACACCCCTAGGTGAGGTGTATTTAATAGAAATTGTGTCGATGAATATAATTTACGCCTTTATCTTTGAGCAATCTGATGGTGAGTGGTCGAATCACCGTTAACTAAAATATTTACTTACCAAATCTAAGGCCAAACAAAACAAGCAAACAAGCACAAATTTCGAGCATGTCATTTTTAGGAACATTGTTCAATACATCAAAACCTTGATCTAAAGAATAAAAAAGTAAATATTGTTACTAAATATTGTAAAAGAAACTGTAAAAGAAGTAGTAAGAAATACAGTTAAATTGATAAGCGGATAATACAAAGATCTAAATAATAAACTGGAATAAAATCAAAATATTAAATAATTATTAATCCAAAGAAATACAAACTGTTGATCGATAAAAATGCTTTGATATTATTATAATAATTTCAAACATAAACTGGTAATAAAATAATGTTCAATATGACAAGATGAGAAGAGACCATAAAAAAGTATTTTGGAATATTTACCTAACGTTCACTGGATGAGAAGCAGTCTGAGGTTTGGGCGTTTGACGTGGCACATACGGATTTTATTAATATCCATAATGACGTAACAAATCGATACGATAAAACCAGAGGCGTAGAAATGTTATTAGCAGCCATAGATGATGGTTGAAAGTTTAAATCTTGCCAGTAGTAGGCTGAAGTTGAAATTAGTTAAGAAATGAAGTATATGTGTGACAAAAATAAAGTAGAAGTGAGCATACTTGTACTTTTGTGTTTACTGTGTAAGCTTGGCAGTTCGTTCTATAGAAATAAAGTAAGTTGTGTCAAAACAGGTCGTTTTTTGAAAAAGTACATGGAGAGGAAAAGTATTTGAATATGCTTTATGAGAAATCATATAAATCCTACATGTTCCTAAAACAAATGGAAAAGACTGATGTAACCCTTTAGAAGTATCTCAAAACTTAACAAATACACAAGACGAAAAGACCGACTAGGCTGAGACGGACCGAGCGGCAGACAGACAGACAGATAATTATCTGGAATATTCGAAATTACAAGATTTATGTTAATTACCATAATTGTCTCATTACATTATATTACCCTGTCTATAGTCTATCTATATATATATAAAGCAAAGTGCTCGGGTGCCCGATCGGGCACTTCCCGGCGCCGCAGACGCTTCACATTTGTCATGAGTCTGCCTTGGGGCGACAGAACACGAGAGCCGGTGCCGGTTGGCCGAAAAGTCAACGAAGAGGGGGTTAAAGGGGGGGGGGGGTTATAGGGTAGGGATTGAGGGAAAGGGGGGGGATAGTGTTTTAAAGCAAATATTTTCAGTGGCAGCATTGGTACTGTCGAATTCACAAATTATGAATTACTGAAAAGTAGAAAATAAAACCACTAAATAGCGGCGTAAGGTACACCGCGGGTCGGCTCGTTCAATAAATTGTTAAAGTGTTTTTAAGGTTAAGGATAAGATTTAACCACCGTGGGTTTCAACACGGTTGCACTGACCAGATTAGTTAGATAAGGCTAGAAGTGTAGTAGAATAGTTATCCCCCCTAGCAGGTCCTACACATGTGAAATTTCATTTATCTATCTGAAATAGAATTTACATTTTTTTGCATTCAGTAATTGTTTTTATCAAGGGATATAACCAAGATTGTATTTGCAGGCAATATTAATTAAAGATGAAGTAAAAATTATGTGAGCTTTAAAATTCTATGCAATAATCTATATATATATATATATATATATATATATATATATAGATCCCTTCTTGGAGGCGTTAGAAAACAAGCTGTATGCACGCCTTGCAGTCCCCTCTCTTCCTCTCTAGGCATGGTCTGGTGAGCTGTGGATCACGCTAAATGTTTACAATCGTAGAGCCGGGTTAGTGACAGCTATTAGGGGTAGATAATTTAGTTTGAAACGATTTTAAACTTAAGGGAGGTAACTAAGAGGAGGCTGCTTTTAGGAAGGGGGGGGGGGTTAGGGGTGGGGGAAAGGAGGGTGGGGGGGGGGGGGGTTATCGTCCTTAACGAGTTACTGATAGTGTTTTAAAGCAAATATTTTCAGTGACAGCAGTGGTACTGTCGAATTCACAAATTATGAATTACTGAAAAGTATAAAATAAAACAACTAAATAGCAGTCTACGCTGCGGGTCGGCTCGTACTAATTTAAAAAAAAAAAAAAAAAACTCAAAAAAATATGGCAAGCGACAAAATTATGATTACATTCTATAAAATTAAGCCGTTTGGAAACTTTCGATTACAATCATGTTCATATTGAAGATAAACCGTTGAAAATAATGTCCGAATTATTTTATTTATTTATTAAAAGATTTTTAAAAATACATTAAAAACGTTTTAGTTAAAAGCATTTATATAATAAAAAGAAGAAACTAAATACGTGTCTTTTAATATAATCATGATAAATTGTATAAAATGAGAAATGAAGCACCTAAAAGATAGAAACAAATCTTTTTTTATGTTTAAATCTGCATTATTATATTCGTTTGTTATTTCAATAGGCAACTACTAAAATAATTCAGATTTGTATGCATTTTTGTTATATTGTTTAGTAGCGTAGGTTAGTTCACAAGAACATCATTCCATAAACAAATTTAGATACCGACAATTCAAATAATCTTTTAAAATTTAAACCGCGCCTGTTTCCAATCGTCTTATCTACATATCTTACTAAGAAGCCAGGGCGTAGTCGAGTGATAGGGCACTCAAATGCAAGACCTAATATATTCATCATAATATTCTATTTATCGACAGTGGCGTAGCGAGGTCGGGTGTCACCCGTTGCGGCACCCCCCCCCCCCCCCCCAGAAACGTAGTGACCCTTCCCTGGAACAAACTTTCAAATCTTGGATTTGCACCCCCCCCCCCCTCAAATTTTCGATTTGCACCCCCCCCCCCCCCCTTCAAGTTTTTCTCTATATATTTTGCTATTTTTTGCCTTGGTGTCATCCCCCTAAATGGTGTCACCCGGTGCGTTCCGCACCCCCCCCCCCCGCTACCCTCTGTTTATCGATAACCAGCTTCCTTATACAATTTTGTAAGCATTTTTTTTTTAAATTCATAAAAATAATGTTTAACAATCTTTTATGTAATAATGTACTAAATGGGAGAAAATTAATGATTTACATACATAAATATGTTCAATGCAGGAAAAACAATGCCGGTTGACAAGGTAGTAGAAATTACCATAAACCTATCGGTCTTGGAGGAAAAATAATAAGGTTCTGTTCAAGGGAGTGTATTCATGAATAAGGTGTCATGTATAAAAAAAACTGGCTATTATCTCCCCTCCTGTGAGCTAATTAAGTTATTCAAGTTAAGTATGAAGGTTGAAAATCCTTCCAAACGCTTGTACAAACATGTCGAACCTGTATGTTATTCAACATATTCAAGACTCTTGTGGTCTGGAAATGGAATTAGAAATAACTAGATTGTAATATTTTATAGGTTGCTTCATTTTATATTTTCAATATAATTTTTTTCTTACTGTGTTAACAATTTGATTTTCTGTATTATCTGGCAAAAAATATGAAACGGAAACATTTATTTTAGTTTATATTTCGTTTTAAAAAGCTACATTGTTTATTGCGTTTTATTTCAGTGTCGAAATGCCTGCAACAATAACTCAATGTTTTGGCGATCATGTTTTTATTTACACATATTCAACTGTGTTAAGCGCATACATTATGTCGACATATTAATAGACATAAACAAATAGCCACTTTCTCAAACAAACACAACTATCTACAGCATAATAATGAAAGAATGTGATGCTAAAAATCTTTAGTGTAAAAATCTATAGTGTGTATAGACAAAGTACTTGTAGAGCGCAGAGTGTTCTAGATCTCATTCTGAAAGCCGTATGTTAATTTGGGCACTGCGCTCTGGGTACAACACTCTAGGCATCACACTCTGGGCGCCATACTCTGGGCGCCACACTCTGGGCGCCACACTCTGGACAACTTAGTTTTACATTTATGAGCTCCTGCCTTGTCCTTCTCTATAGATCTATATTAGGCACTTTTTTCCCTACCACCTCAATTTCTGAATCTGAGACATCTGTTAATGAAGGTCTGTATCTTGTCTGTGTTTGACTTCGAGAATATCCCTGTTTCTGCTCCCTAAAACAAAACTGCCTTTACCTTTGAATTAAAAATCCTAATTTTTCTCTGTTGGAAATGGCAGAATTTCTCCATATGGGTCGCAGAACTGTGAAAGCGCAGCGGGCTCTATTAATTCTAGCACGTATGTCCTCCTCTGTGCCTCCCGATTAGATGATCTTGCTGCCAAGGTAGACAAACTCTTCCACATCATGTACATGTCTTCAGTCAATTGTTACTTGGACCTCCTGCTTATTGTTGATTCTCATTACTTCTGTCTTTTCTTTGTAGATCTTATAACCTACACGCTGTGAGATGCTTCCTAACTCATAAACATTTTTTTCCTGCATGTCTTGTTGACTCTTTGAGAGTAGGGCAAGATCATCCACAAAATTGAGCATGACTATACATTTAAAAGACTACCTTGAACACACGCATATCGCTAATTTACTCATAGTAAATTAAGAACATATTTTAAGAATATCACATTAAAAAACCCCTCGTGTGTATACCTCTTAGATATACATTTATATACATCAGACATTCACATAGTTTATACTAAAACTAATATTTTTTTCTTTTGCACGATTTGGTAGGTAGAGCAGTACAATTTTAACTTGCAGATAAGTATGTTCAGATCCCTGGCTATCACGTTGACTTGACGGAGTCTGTTTTGTTGACGTGTTCAACATCGGTCAAGTTGGTTATAGTGTGTTGTAGTTTGGTCTCAGGTTTATGTTTGACAGACATCAGATTCAACATGTAGCTTGATGCTGTCTGATGACGGAGAGGGAACATACATCAAGCTTAATTATGTAATACATGTATCGTAGATTTGTATCAAACACTTTGAAACATGTAATTTGCGACATAGTTTGCTAGGTAACACACACATATATGTCAATTTAGTCATCAAATTTTGGTGGGGAAACGTGACAATGGCATTTGTCTCTTTGAGACGGCTAGCTGATTTTAAATGATTTCAACAACATATGTGACCCCAATATGTGATGACGTGAGATTACAGACAATATAATTTGGTTAATATAGCCTAGCTATGGGACGGAGTGGTCTAGCGGAAGAGAGCTGGACTAACCCGTAAGTTT